TGGAAGCAGCTAGTCCTCATTGAGAATATTTACTCATTGAGTAAATATGATTTTCACTGCATTGTACTTACTTTGCTTCCAAGAGGATCAGGCTAGTTATATAGGTGAGTTATTTAAATTGAGACCTCAGTCATCTGTATCCAGCTCCAACGCCTCCCTTGGCTTCATAGCATGAGTAGCAAGCTTTCCTCTGCTTGTCACTTACCCCTGTTTCAACATCACTGCCCTACACATGTCTAGTCTAGTTTTTGCAATCTAACACTGTTTATGCCAGGGACCGAACATTCTCACCACCCCACTCTATCAAAATGCTCCAAGTATTTCACATTATAATATATCACCAGGATTCCACCCACCCTGAATAAAGAATTAGATATTATAACACGAATATAGATCCTTGTTTCACTCATATCTGTTTACTCTGATTCAATGTTATTTACTAAATGTGAACCACTTTCATCCTTGTGAGGTAGTCCAGACAAGAAGCACGTCCAAATAGCAATAGCACTTAGACTTATATACCACTTCACAGCGCTATACAGCCCCTCTCTAAGCAGTTTAGAAAGTCAGCCCATTGCTCCCAACAATCTGGGTCCTCATTTTACCCATCTTGGAAGGATGGAAGGCTGAGTCAACTTTGATCCGGGTGAGATTTGAACTGCCAAATTGCAGGCAGCTGGCAGTCAGCAGAAGTAGCCGGCAGTACTTTACTCTAACCACTGCACCACTGCGGCTCAATCAACTATTTCTACTCTAGTGTAAGGTAACATTAGAATAATTTTGCAAGTCTGAATGTGCATTTCTCTCTCATCATCTTTACAGCCCAAGAAACTAGGGAGGGATTCTCCCACATTCTTGTTGAGGACTAGCTATCTTTTATCCAATTGATTCCCTGGCTATGGCTCTTTTTCTTTCTCCCAAGGTCTTTCCCACATACCATTACAGTCACTCTGGATACATGGAGTCCACTTCCCAGAATTCTCAGCACTGACTACTCTGTAGTCGAAAACCATATGTCTGGAGGGTACCCAGTGCTTTTTCCACACACTCCACATAAGTATGGATGGCAACATGGTGGCTCAGTTGTTAAAATGCTGGACTTGTCAGCTGGAAAACGGCAGCCCATGTTTGAGACCTAAGCGCGACGTGATGGGATGAGCTCCTGTCCTTGCCTCAGCTGATGCCAACCTAGCAGTTCGAAAGCATCCAAATGCGAGTAGATAAATAGGTACCACTTCGGTGGGAAGGTAACAGTGCTCCGTGACATCATGCTGTCACATGACTGAGGAAAGGCTCAGCAGCCTTGAAACAGAGATAACCACCGGCCTCTATATAGTCAGTAACAACTAATGAAGTAAAATCTGCAGGGGCTCCTTTACCTTTACATGAGTAGGGGCCCTTATGTTTCAGATTTCTGGACTAGTATCATCACTGGCCATTGTATTCTCTCTTCCTTAGAATCACCAATGTGGAGAAGCTGACTCTAGATCAGGGGTGTCAAACTGGCAGCCTGCAGGCCGGACGCGACACGTGGAGACCACACCCACCCACGCTCCACGAAGGGGGAAAAATGTCGCGATACGTCACAGCAACATGACGAGGCACGTTTGACACCCATGCTCTAGGTCCTGTTGAAAATTGTCAGAAACAAAGCGTATAACTCAGTGCGTACAGATTATATAGGCTGTACAGCAGTGTTCCCATCTGGCATCACCACATTTGCAGTCAGGAGAAGATGCCAGTTTCTGCATCACCAGCTTCCAAGGTGATTCTTTCCATGCTATGCATAAGCATCACTTTCTGCTCATGGGGAACAAATCCAAGTCCCCATTTATTACCAAGGGCAAAGCAGCTTTAGAAATGACAGGGGCTTAGGGCAGTGATGGTGAACCTTTTTCACCTCGGGTGCCAAAAGTATGTGTGTGCATGCTATCGCATGTGTGTCCGTGCCCACCCCCACAATTTAATGCCCCCCTGTGCTCCCTGCACATGTGCGCGTGATACACACACCATTGCTGCCCTGTGCATGCGCGCACAGCTTTCTTGGAGCTTGGGGACGGCGAAAACGGCCTCCGCCGCCCACCCTCGGAGGCCCTCCGAAGGCCGGAAACAGCCCATTTTCCAACTTCCGGTGCGCCCGGTACATTTGTTTTTCGCGCCCGCGCCCCCCCCCCCCAGGCTCTAGAGGCTTTCTAGGAGCCTGGGGAAGGCGAAAAACGGCCCAACATGCAAACCGGAAGTTCGGGAATGGACTTCCAGGTTGTCATTGGGCTGTTTTTCTCCTTCCGGAGGCTTCAGGAGGGCAGAAAATGGCCAAAACTCAAGGTCGAAAAAGGAGCTGACAGGCCAACGCCTCATGTGGCCTCAGAAATGGCTCCACATGCCACCTGTGGCACATGTGCCATAGATTCGCCATCATGGGTTTAGGGAAATCTAGGGGGGGGGTGTTCTGAGAGAGAAGGGAAGAAATGAGGGAAGGACAGGCTAGCAAAGGGTCAGCCCAGCCATATCTTTAAGTGAAGCAAAAGAGCCATCTGCCTTGAGGATAAGTCTTGGCATGTCATTAAGGGGAATGCTAGAGGTGAAATTGTTTATGGCATTCACTTTGGCATCAATTTCCGAAAAATTAGTAGCAGCTTTTCTTAATCTGTTGTTATGATTTTAGGGGTGGCAGTCAGGGTGTACCCACACATACAAATCGACCAGCTGTCCTGCATTTGCAGTTTGCATTGGAAGAAAAGGTTTTATTGGCACTAATAGAAGTTTTCCTCTTGAGGCACATTACTGTCTTCTTTCAAATATTATATTGCACAAAGACTAATGAGATTATTACCATACCTAATTTGGTTCCAAAAAGCAGAAAAATGTTTTTTTTAAAATATTAAAGAAAAAAGATCCATGGAAAATACTGCAAGCCGCAATCTGTTTTGGTCATCCCCTTGGGGATTATTGCAGACTCCACCTTTTATTGGTGACAGAAGTCCTCCATTTTGAAAAGCTGTTGTTGTGGCCCACCAGCGGAGCTGGCAGCAGATTCGGACAGTGAGGAGGTTGGGGAGGAACATGGGCCAGTCCTGGAGTCTGGGGAAGGCTCTGATGAGGGCTCTGTGTTGGAGGTAGAGATGAGGCCAGGGCAATCTGACAGTTATCAGCTTCCTTCAGAGTCAAACATCAGTGAGGCAGAAGAACAGCTGGAGCCTGTTCCCAGTGTGCGCATGCGCAGAGCTGCCAGAATAAAGGAACAGTTAAGGATCAAGGGTAG